ATTCCTGCTCATTGTCTCATGTTAAAATCAGAGATGCTTGACTGAGGAGCAACCCCTTTCTGTTCCGCAGCAGTCATCAGAATATGAGGCGATACCACATAGTCCAGCAAGGGATTGCCTCTCAGGTGTATGGACCCACACACAGAACAGATCCATATTAAATGGCTTGTGGTGGAAGCAGAAACGTGCTGTGGGCAGACACAAGCTTAATTTTTCATTTGTGGAAGCCCAGACTGGTCTTGGAAACCTTAGTTTTACCCAAGGTTCAGTTTTCTGGAATCTCTGCAACTGCAAACAAATGAAACAAATTCTAAGAGTGGTAGTGGATGTATGAGGAGATTGCTGAGGAGGCATCTTTCTGGTTGGCTGCAGGTAAACTCTGCACCAAAAGTGCATGTGCTTTGCAGAAGCACTGGGCTACATTTGTGAAATGCATGGACAGAATAAGATGATTTTGGTGCCAAGGTTTTTAACGTGCTGCAACTTATTGCTGGCAAATACTTGCGCCCAGACTTTCAGCTGCAGGACAAGTGCAAAGAACGTTTTAAGTTTTCCTTTAAACAATTGTTTTTAACTCTACAAAATGATATCTTTTTTCCTGATTATTCTGTGGCAGGAACCCCATCCTGCCCATTTTATCTGGTCACCTCTTTCACTCCGTGTTCTGTGCCGAAAAGACCAAGCCACTCTGCATTATGTGGGTCACTGGATTCACGGATGACTTGAGAATTCACTGCTTTGTGGTAGTTTGGTGAAATGTTAATAACTTACCTGTTGTACATGCACTTCAGTCTGGAGGTCTTTCCTCTCTACAGCTGGCCTGGAAGTGGGATGGTGAGTCTGTTGTGAGGGGGGGCCTCTGGGGAGACTGTATTATGTACCCTCTTTTTCCTTCAGAGTGTGGTGGGCGCTTAAAGGCTGAAGTACAAACTAAGGAGCTGTATTCCCATGCTCAATTTGGGGACAACAACTACCCAGGACAGTCCAACTGTGACTGGGTGATTGTAGCTGAAGATGGTTATGGGGTGGAGCTGATATTCCAGACATTTGAGATTGAGGAGGAGGCTGACTGTGGATACGACTACATGGAGATCTACGATGGTTATGACAGCACTGCACCCCGTCTGGGACGCTTCTGTGGCTCAGGGGTAAGCCAAGGTAGTGGTGATTTCGTAGGGGTAACTGGAAGTGGCAAAGGAGGGTATTCTTACATTCTTTTTGGAGAGAGACAGCTGTCACAAACTGGTGGTGAGAATGCTTTTTGTGTCTGGGTTTTGCTTACTCTCCTATGGCCAGAGATCACAGCTGCTTTATTTGATACACAGAGTTGATTTGGAAACCTTGCCAATTGACTTTCCCCTGTTAGTCCAGAACCTTGAGACGCAGCATGGCACTACCCTGCTGCTCTGCCCAAGCACTGCAGTTAGAACATTGTGTAACTATGGGAAACTCGGCTTCCAAAGGCCAGTTTAATCCTTAGTCACTTCCTTCCTGAAGCAAGGTGACATTGCAGCCATGCTGTGGAGAGGCTTGCAGAGTTGCTTGTTGACTCCAGGACGGTGTGTTGTCTCCTAAACCATTATCTATGTCCTGATTAACAGAAGTGACTCCGTTAATGCAGGTAATAGCGTGCAGAATTTAAAAACAGAGGTTCTATGTTTGGTTTATCTAGGACTTCAGCAATGAAATGGACAAGGTGCATATTGAATTTAAAAAGACACAACCAGGCAGAAGGAATGTTGAAACAGTCCTGCCAAACTGGGGAAATGGTCTGGAAAATAGAAGCAGAGCAGCTAGCTCAGTGTGAAGAAATTCAGGGCAGAGGGTAGGAATCACGTACCAGCACAAGGATGAAACATTGGCTGGGAAAGTGTCAGTTCGGCAGAGGAGCACAGGCAGGTTGTAGCGGGTCACAGCCCAGCAGTGGGGAAGAGAACAGGAGTTTTGCATATAAGATAAAATAAGTTATTCTGCCACTGTTTGACCTTGGGAGATCCTCAGCTGCAAAACAGGGTCCAGTTTGGGTTGTGCCATTTCCTGAAAATAGTAGAATCATTTGGAGCAAGGTCAGAAGGTTGGAAGAAGAATAACCAGGGAGTTCAGTGAATGTGACTTACAGAGAACAAGTGGTAGAACTGAGATTGTAAAGTGAACTGGCATTAATCTTCAAACATAAAAGGCAGGCATGCAAAAAGCAATCTCCATGTTCAGTGAGTTGGGACAGGGATCGTTCAGAGAAGTAACGGGCTTAAATTTGCAGCAAGAGAGATCCGGGTTATATGTGAGGAAGAACTTTCTTTCTGATGGTGGGGATGGGAAAGCATCGGAATGGATGTCTGGGAGAGGGAAGATCTCCATCACAAGTGACCTTTAAAGCATTTTGGGCAGTCATTGGACAGGAATGCTTTTGGTGGGTCTAATCCTGTTTTGGGGCAGGAGGAGGATTTCTTGGGGAGCCTTCCAATCCTGTTTTCTAGGAGGCCTGCTGCTGCCAATCTGCCCAGAGCAGTAGGGCTGAATTTTTCTGAAGGCAGCACTTCTATTTCTGCTTTTATCCAGTCAAGGTACTCAGCTTGTATGGAGTAAAAGCATCAACAACTGCTGAGCTCTGGGAGAGCGAAAGAATCCCTGCACGAAGGCATGGGTTGCATAAGCTTCCCCACTTCTCTCTGCCAACCTAGTGAATCGATACAGTGGTTCATTGACCTCTTGAGCAATCACAGAAAGCAGTAGGACTGGAAGGGGATGCACAAGGTCATCTTCTCTCTCCCAGCCCTGGGAGAGGATCAGCCTGACCTGAACCACAGTTGACAGAAATCTAATTTGTTGACAAGTAAGAGGTCTTCTACTTTATGATGTGCTTGAGAAGTCGGAGCAGGGCAGGAGGTACAGAATGCTCAGTATTCGTGTTTCCTGACAGTCCATCTTCACTGTGAGCTTAAACCCTGCCATCATTGTGCAGATAATTGTTTAGCATGCAGACGTCACCTGTCTTATTTCCTTTTCTGCAGCCTTTGGAAGAAATCTACTCTGCAGGGGACTCGATCATGATTCGATTCCACACAGACGACACCATCAACAAGAAAGGCTTTCACGCCCGATACTTAAGTACCAAATTTCAGGATGCATTGCACGTGAGAAAATAGTTTGACTGCTCCTCACAGACATTCCCCATCTGAAGACTGAGACATTTAACTGTGATCTTTGTCTTTTTTTTTTTTTTTAAAGCTCCTGTGCACCTGGCCAAAAGCAGTGTACAGTATTTTCTGTAACTAAAAGTAAATCCAGTTCAAAGGTTTGCTTCTGAAAAAATTAGCATGACCTTTCTTTTGCTAACATACCCAGGACCAAAAATTGTCTTCTAGTCACACCTGCCAGGGCATAAATCTTGTATTTTGCACAGCTTGCCAAGGGCTGAGTGAAGACTGAATTTGAATTGAAAAAAGCCTTATTCTCTTGCATATCCTGTTTCTAGGTGACATTTCTTAAGTAGCCTATACACATGAGCTGAATGCATCTTCTGGAGCAGATGCTATGGGCAGCCACGCAGTAGGATTTTCTCAGTGGACCTTTGGGGCCACCCACTGTCCCCTACCAGCCCAAAACACTCTGTGCAATAAGTCAGATGACTGTGGCTCCAGATTCCATGACTCCTTCTGTCCCATCTATTTATTGTCTTGGTTATTGTGTGTGTAGGCAGGGGCATGGGGAGGGTCTCTTTAGGGCTGTTACCCACTTGGACCATGATCAACAAGAAGTGCCCAGCACCTGATTTGCAGCAATTGTCATGGTGCATGTTGAATGGAATCATTTCAGTGCAGCGGCCAAGGGAAAGTCTGTGGCTGATGGGGAAGTGCTGTGGTGACAGTCAGGGCACACTTAGCCACTGGAGCACTCACAATCTGGTCCCATTACTCTGCCAAGACAAGGCAGCTCAGATGGCTGTGGCAACAATCCAGGCCTTATCTTAAGTAAAAATCTTCTCTCATCACTCCACCCTTCTTTGCTTTCCCAGTCTACTTTATGCTCCTTCCTTCCCGCCCTTCCATTGTTCCCTAGTGCTACTTCCTCATAAGTCCTCCCTTCTCTTGGCTGAGCTGCTCTTCCCGGAGTTCCCCGCAGCAACCTTAGAGCTCTCTGCCACGCCAGCTAGCAGAACATCTCGCAGAAGGAAATGCCAGGTCAGAGTTAGTCAGAATATCTCAGCACTGTGTTGCTGGCTGTGCCTCAGGCAGAGGAGCACAGGCTGTGCTAGAGGTCAGTTCTGGTGAGCTCTGGGAACCTGCTGAGCATGCGTATGCCCAAGGCCTGGGACTAGGGACAGGAGAGCTCCTCTGGTTTTTGCTTTATCCCCATTCTTTGCTGAGCCATGGCCCAGTCTCTTGACATCATTGCAAGTCTGTAACCCAGATGTGCAAGATGGTGACTTAAGCACTTTGTGCTGTAAGGCTGAGATATGCTGTATGTTACAGTTATTTATGTATATGGAAGCTACTGAACCATGGGCTTGCAAAATTAACGGCTATCTTGGCACTTCTTTGGGAAAAAATATGGGAAACTGCACCTTTGGGGGAACTGCTGTAATTGTGCTGTTGTTACGGGAAGAAAAAGAAGACAAGACTTTATTCTGAATGGCATTTCATTAAGGCACTCATGGGCAATTACAGGCTAAAAGCTGAGGTATGTTAGCTTTAATAAAGTATTTATAATCCAAGGATTACTATGTTTACATAACCAATGTACTGTCAGGCTCAAGGATGACACCTCCTCCTCTGGTGTATGACTGTGGGGAAACGTGGGGCTAGCACCAGCGTCAGGCACAAATGACATTCTTGGAGATGAGGGCGTTTCTGGACGGATAATAAATAGACCCCAACCCTCTCCACAAGTCTTTAAACAGAATATGATCCAAGTATTGTGAATACTAGTGGAAGCAAATGCATGAAAATATTTTCTATCTTAGAACAAGAGAGAAAAGTAATTTGTACACACATACACACACGCACACACTTTTATGTATATAAAATCTGCCTGTAGAAGACCAGTAGTCAAAGCCTTAATAAGTGTCATATGAACGATATTGTACCATTGACCATAGCTTTATTGCAGGCTGTACAAAACCATATTATTTCTGTTTGTTTGTTTTTTACTTCTATTTTGTGTCTCTTTTAAAATGTTATAGCCACCTTTTTATAGGCAAAGCTTTTGATCTTTTGCTGTTTGACAACCCAGGCCTGCAGAAGTGAGCTCTACTAGATGGGGTCTGCTTTTGTCCCTCTCTTACTTGCCCCATTCAAGCAAAATCCAAGTGACTGAGGGCCGGAAATAAAGTCATGACATTCACGTTCCCTGTGAAACAGAAGGAAAGTTTCATTGGCAAGCAGTAGTTCAGATTTCCTGGCTCTCTAATGGGAGTAATTAATCTGGAGAGAAGTTACTTTAGAAGCTTGTTGTGTACTTCAAACATCTTTATTTCATGTTCTGATAGTTTCTCATCTTCCTTGGTCTTTGGATTGTATACTCTGGTTCGTTGCAGGTGCTTGCAATGTGGTTTGACAGATCTGCTACATTTATTAGCATTCAAACAGATGTCTCGTGACAGTGTATTCACAACTGTTGTAGTTTGTGTTTCAGCCGGTGATCTATGTAGAACATTTCTGCCTGTACCAACTAGGTTTAACAGTCAATAACTTGAATGCGTGAAAGTTTCTTTTAAAAACAAGAAAAAAAATGTCAGAGTCTTTAAGGTGTGCATACATATTCCAGTCTTTCTGTGGTTTTACATTTCACTGAATAAAATCATTTTTTAAGAGGGGGAAGAGAGGAGGGCGTGGGGGCAATCCCATATGTACCTATGCCCAGAACTAGTCTCTGCATTCATTAAAGACTGTGGATTCAGTTGCATGTTCTGTTGTGTGCATGCATTTACTGTTTCTTCAAGGGGAGGACATTTCTTAATACATTCCTTGTTCTGCCATCTGTTGTTTGTGTCTGCTACTAATGCCAGTTGGGATTTACTCTGCAGAAAATGACTTTCACTTGCGCCTTTATCTTTGTCTTGGTTTTTGGAATCCAGAGCATGTTCAGGAAGTGGGGCAGAGGAATGGCGTGGTCAGCCAAAAAGGGTCTACACCATTGTATCTCATGCTCCGCACTGACCCATTAGTCAGCTGAGATGCAGATCTGCAGCGATAAACGTCATAGATCTGGGAATTAGTCCATAAGTGGACTTCAGAAGACGGGGACTCTTTACTGCACTACAGAATATGATCTTCAGCAGTGGGTTGCAAAGATCCCAGGACGTGAAACTCCCATGCAAAGCAGGACAGCAATATGAACCTGAGGCAGAACTTCTCTGTCCATGCAGCCGTTTCCTAGGAAAGGTAGCAATGCAAACCTGAAGCATCTGTGACAGTTTGACGCAGAGCTCCATAAAGCTAATGTTTTGGCCTTTAAAAGTGAGAGAGTTCTTACTGCAACCTTGTGCTCTTCACTGTCACTGTGGCAGCAAAATGGTTTGTAACCAGGCAGCACCTTAAATGCTTTTTTTCCTCTTTCTGTCCTCTGCTTGATGCTTACCCCACTTATTAAGGATCACATCTGTGTCCTTTCCCCCCCAACACACACAGTTTGTGCATCTTCTGCCACCCATACTGTTCCTGTGCTGTTTGTCATAGCCACTCAAAATTTCACGGTGACAGAACTTTTTTCCAACTGCTCCCAAAGACAAGCAGCAACACTACTTCCTGCAGCAGTGTCATTGCCTAATATGACCTTAGAGTAAGCACAGAAGCTAGCATTTGGGTCACTTGGTGGACATAATTTCTGTAATGGAGGGCCAGAAAGCCTCCAATCACACCTACAGTTATGGTCCAAGCTGATGTTGGAACATTAGAAACGATGCAGCCCAAGTGAAGCCAACAGGAAATAGGAGGTAAAACAGAAGATAGAATTTGAACAAGAAAGAGTTACAGCTGTTAGAGAAATATGCAGACATTTGCAGTAGCGGTAAGACAAGTTTGCACTGTGTGCAGGATCTACCTGTTGTTTGTATAAAGATCTCTCACAGACTTGCATCTTCCCTGCTGCCCAAGTAGCCTCTGCCCTTAATTTCTCTTTCCATGTTGGTTGCCTGCCACCAGTGCTGTGTAACTTGGCTGCTCCTCATTTTCTCTGCCTAGAAACAGTATTTAATTTTGCAGAGAGTGCCCAAGGACCGCCCAGTCTTTGTGCATGAAATGTTGGAGGGGATTTCAGTTGTTTGACAGGAGACTCTTTGACATTTAAAAGCATGAGTACCTAGTGGCAGGCCCATTGGTCTCCGCCTCAAGCATGAAACAGGCTAGTAGATATCCTCCACTTTGTCCTGGCATCCCCGGTAAACATATTCTAATAGTCAAGGTGTCAGTCCTAGGAACTAAAAGCAGAGTTTACCTAACATTGAGCTGTGGCACATATTAAAACACGTACTCAGAGCCAGGAGTAATTTTATTTGGCATGAGGCGATATGAAAGAGGCAGAGTCCTTTGTACCCTGAAGTCCAGCCTTCCACATGCTTTCCAGACTCTGCCCCTGGCAGAAGCCTGTTTGAGTAACGGCTCTCTCAGGTGTGCCGGTATTCAGCCAGGTTATCTGAGTCACCATAAGAGAAATGTCATTGTCTCTTCCTCTTTGTGGGTCTACAATTTGTGTTTTAACAGGAAGAGAGATTCACTCCAAGAGGAGCACTAACTCTGGAGTCACCTGGTCAGCTCTTAATACGTGCAGGGATTTCTTGGGAAGCAGAGCAAAATGGTGAGTAGGAGTTGTGTGTTTGCTGAGTCTTGGATGAGAGTGGAGGGGAGAGGTCAGAATGCAAGGGAGGGGAGGCCATAGGAGTACTTAGCTGTTAGATTAAATGCTCCTTGTGAATGTTTACATTCCCTCCCATTCTCTGCCGTGACCAAATCAATCAAACTGGCCCTTTCATTAGCTCTGCATTTCTCTGCAGTGCAACCAATGGTCTCAGACTACTACTTTGATTTTAGTGCATATCCTAGCTTTTCTGCCCTGGAGGTACCATCTGGTCTTAGGGGTGGTTGCAGCAAAGAAGAAAATTGTGCCCTGGATCTTTATAACAGATCTTTCTTTGGGAGATTTCCTGTCCCGTGAGGTTGGATCTCTTGAAACGCACACAGCATCTATTTAGAAATGGATAGGTGAGAGTGGCTGGGAGCGAAAACTCCTATCCCAGCAGCTAACTGGTTCTGAGACTAGAGCAATATTCTCTTGCCAAATTTAGTGGTGAATTAGTTCCATGACTATTCGCTGAAAGTATATTTTCAAAGGATCTTGGAGCAACTGCAGAACTGGTGGAGCACAGCACAGAGTTACTTGTTAACTGCACACAAACTGAAATAATAGATTTATGCTCTCTCTAACCTTTGTTGATCTTTTTCTCTGAGCCTGTACTGGTTCCCTTGGAATCTCCATCAGTTTCTCTTCCGCAGGAATAATCCCAGCCCTACCCAATGAGTAGGATGTAGCTTGTGTGGGCTCTATCCAGGAGGCAGCTAGGTATTACAGCTGGGACTGTATAAGCACAGAAGAGTGGTGGTCCCTGTCCATGCAAAATCACAATTTGAGCAAGTTCGAGAAATGCTGGGAGGAAAGGAATATTATCCACGTGTTGGAGAGTTGATGCTGAGAGGTGGAGGTGTCTGCGGTAAAGCTGTGAAGTAAATCCAGAGCGTATGATTCCTGGTCTTGTGTGTTTGCATTTGTCCATCTCCCTTCTGCTCCCTTCAGCAAGAAGCTCTCCTGTACAAAGCTGCAGGGGCCCAGTGAGGCTGACTGGAGAGGGAGGAGGACTATCTCCTTGTGGTCTCTCTTTCAGTTTCTACATCTGTTGGCTGCTATAAGTTATGGAGAAAAGGAAGATGGAAAGGGTGCAACTTTTTTTGATCTCAGCTGCAGTATCAGGTTTTCTGTCGTCCATGACGTGCTCTTCCCAGACAGTAGCTGTGGTGCTTAATTTTGCTGGGAAACCTACCTGACTCTCATCAGGGTTGCTGACACTCAGAGCTCCAGATACCACTTTGGAGTAGTTTAGGCAATCTATGAGCAAGAGCTGGGGTTCTGTAGACATTTGTCTGCAGATCAAGAAAGACATCACAATATTGAAGTATACTCACTTTAATTTTAGAAATGGGGGTGGAGGGCAGGAGTTTCAACCATGGGGATTAGAAAGATCCCCTTCTTTCTTTTTTGAAGTAAACAAATAGGAAGTCAGCAGTAATTTACATAAGAGACCATTCTCATCCCTCCTGACATGTACAAATTTGCAAGCCATACTGATCCACTTTTGCAAGTGGCTTAAGACAATGGTTTTAGACTACTGTATGACTACGAAAGACCTGTTTCTAAGTGTGTTGCTACAGCTTTCTGTATGTGCTTGAGAACAAGTTAGGGACCTCAGTTTCCGCATAGAACAGTCTTAGTAAGATGTACTGAATCCTGCTTTTGGAAGTCAAGGCAGCTTACAGAAAAGCATGAATGCCTAGTGTCCTGCAAGTCACCTGTTAGAGACTGAAGTACAGAACTAGGCTTTTCCTTTAAATAAGGGCTAACTTTATACAGTTTGTCCTCTAGTGCACCACCTTAAGAAATTTAATGTTTATGATTTGGAACTGTGATTACATTAGTTAGGAAAAACACTTCTACCCAAATCAAGAGCTATCAATCAGGTTATTTGCAAGTAATAGACAAACCTGTTCCTAGCTGGTAACTTCAAGTTATAATTACTCAGTTGCATATACAAATCGCATAGTTTCATGAATGACTCAAGCACAGACAGGTGAACACATATAAATGTATTGTTTATGCTGTTCCTTTTATTTAGACTTTTATTTAACCTGCACGCACAGTCCTGGAAACAAACATCAAGTCCATGAAGTTTAGTGTCTTTAGCCAAGAAGAAGGAAATAAAATAAATTTACAGCTTCAGAGAAGAGGCAGATATGAAAATAAAAACTCAAACATTAACAGGTCAGCTGTTCAAAAAGGCGTGTTTCATTCAGGAATTTCAAGGAGTGCACAGTAGAAAATTCAGCTGAGAAATGTCTCTACTGTATTTCATTCCCAGCTGGTAGCATGGGTGCAGCAATACCCGTGCCCCTTAGGAGTTTGAAAGAGATCCTTTTTACTCAGTGACCAATTGCTAAATGTGTCTGCATGCTCAGAGCTGATGGGAGGATAAATTCTGTATCTTTCATCAATAATCTCTGTTCCTCTTTGATTTTGCTCTGAATTCTGATCTTTGATGCCCAGTGATGTTCCCTTCTGCAGTCTGTAAGACTGCAGGACTTCAACTGAGCTAAGACTGAAGAGCCAAATCTGTCACGCCTTGCTAGCTTTCTGAGCCTTCCTTCTCCATAACCTGCAGTATCCAGACTTATGTCAACATGCTTTCTCTGCATTGACCTCCTTGTTCTGCGATAACTAGGCCCTATTCAGTGCATGTCAGCAGAACCCCCTTCACGGCAAAGTGAAGCTCTCTTTCAGCCTTTTCCTGTTTCCTGCCACCTAACCAGAGTTTCAGTTTGAATGGAGACTTCAGCAGCTTTGCTCTTTCACTCCAATTTATTTGATTTCCTACATGTTCCTGGCACTGGTTCAGGTTCAGGAATCACACTGAACCCAGCTGTCTGAAAAGAGCTGCTTCATACAGAGATGAGTACTACTTGACCCTGGGTTATAGGAGAGGGGAGGCTCCTGCACCTCTTCTCATGATTAGCTACCTTGTGAAGCTAAGTGTCTCTGTAGTGCCGTTCCCAACACTGTCACTACCACCAGTCTCTATAGGCAGCCCAAGCTGCTCACAGGGCTCACCTTATGATGAACCGAATATCGCTTCCAGTAGTAAGAACTACACCAGCATAGAAGTTAAGAGCAGGGTCTGAGTAATTGCAGCCAGAGCTCTTGGGGAGCATATGCTGTATTTTTGCACAGCCCCTGCTTAGAGTGTGTGTGTGTGTGCACGCATTTATGCCACAACTAGGAAATAATACAGAAAGAAACCAAACTCTGAGT